AAAACAGCGTTCAATAGTTACTTGTATGATACTTGACAAGGTTACCGAGCTGAACGTTAATTTGTTCTTCATTGTTAAAAGAAAACTCTAGACAAATTAAATTTAACAGAGTTTAATTGAGCAAAAAACCATTCTTGAATCAGGCAGCCCCAGAACCAGAATAGGTTCAGAGCGACTCCGGGACTGCCATGTGGCCGGATACCTTCATGGGCAGGAAGGAAAGTGACTCCAGAGAATGGAGGAGCCGCAGCAGCTGGATTGGCTGCCGCGGGGGGTCTGCCTTGCCTGAGCCCGGTTTGAACAGTTGGCTGTCGGTGGTAGTCTGAGACTCAGCTGCCTGTCACAAGACCACGCTGTTTACACATCAGGCTGGGTTACGGTTCACCACGTATATGGAACCATTAGGCCAAATGTAAAACATGTACGGAGGCAGCCTTTAGGCAAAACTTAATTTAACATCATAGAAATCTCGAGGCCACTTGTTTGCGCACCCAGCCTGGATCAGTCATAATTCTTGCTGCATGCCACACTCATCACTAGTCCATATTTGGCCTCCTTTTAAGTAGTTAGTTAACAGGTATTTTTACAGCATAATGGGTTTCCCCAAACCACCACCCAACCAAAACCCAGACCTTGATGATGACCTGCGCTCACCACACAGGGCTCTTGATGCGCACGTGCCTGCCACCCCACCCCGTGACCACTGCCCTGAGTGCCGGGCTCATCATCCCTTCCATGCCCTTTCTAAATTGCTACTATGCATCTGTGTGCGTTCATTAAAACCATTACTTTTCTTTCAGATTTTAAATTTATTAAAGGCTTTAGTGCTGAATGTGATTTTCAGGACTCTTTTAAAAAAAAATTGCTTTTGGTTGGAATGTGGACATTTTCCACTTAGCTTTGTGTTGCTAGTGTTCCTCCATATCCATGTGTGTTTAGCTAGAGTACCCCCCTGTAACTGCCTGTAACATTCCACTCTGCGAATATGCCACACTGTGTGCACCTGCTACTCCTTAATGGACACTTGAGCTTTTCCAGCTTCTTCCCTTACTTGTTTGTTTTGCTTTGCTTTGGTGTATTGTATTTTTGCTATTATGAACAGTGGTGCTTTTGAACACGTGCAAGAATTTCATATGTATTGAAAAGCAGAGTTGCCAGATCATAGTGTATAGGAATGTTCAGTTTTAAGGGATCATGGGAAGGTGCTTTTCCAGTGGTTGTGCCATTTTACACTCCTGCAGTGGTGATGGAGACAGCCTATGATCCACGTCCTTTCTAGTTCTTGGCATTGCCATTCTTGTACATTTTTACTGAGTAGGTTTAGAATGATATCTCGTGTAGCCTTGATTCACGTTTCTCTGATATTGCATGATGTTGAGCATTTCCTCATATTCAGTGGCCATAGGTATGTCCTCATCTTTGAGATGTCTGTTCATCTATTTTTCTGTCGGATTTTTAATGCTCTTGCGGATTTATATGTAGGTTTTCAATCCTGGTTATGATGGATATCGCCCCCACCTTTTTGCTTTTCATTTTAAGACAACTACAAATGCTACCAAGGTTATGTGTCATCATCACTTCATAGATCTCCTCCAGCGTCTCTTGGAGTTTTCTCCCCTCTAACTTTAGCCTGTCATCTGCAAGTGTCTTCCTCATGAGTCTTTTTGTGACAAGTCTTCTGAGGCCATATGTGCCTCTGAGAGTATTTTTGTCATGCTCACACATTTGAATGACAGTTTGGCTGGATACAAAATTCTGGGTTTTAACTTACTTTTCTTTAATAAATTAAAAACATCAGCTGGGGGTGGTGGCTTACACCTGTAATCCCAGCACTTTGGGAGGCTGAGGCGGGTGGATCACCTGAGTTAGTAGTTCGAGACCAGCCTGACCAACATTGTGAAACCGCACTTTTACTAAAAATACAAAATGAGCCAGGCGTGGTGGCAGGAGCCTGTAATCCCAACTACTCGGGAGGCTGAGGCAGGAGAATCACTTGAACCCTGGAGACAGAGGTTGCCATGAGCCAAGATCACACGACTGCACTCCAGCCTGGGTGACAGAGCGAGACTCTGTCTCAAAAATAAATAAATAAAATAAATAAATAAAAATAGAAACACGACTCCGTTGTCTTCCTGCATCCTGCGTTAATCTGATTCTTGTTTCTTTGAATGTGATCTGCTCTTTCTTTCTGGAAGCTTTGTATGTATTTTCATTGTCTTTTTAATATTCTTGATCTTTACTACAATGTACCTAATTTATGATGTTCTTCATCTGTATAATGTATCATAATACCTCACAGAATGTGAGGATTAAAACAATCAGTATAAAAGACATAAACAATGACCACCAGATAATAAGCACCAAATAAGTATCAGCTGTGTTATATTATCATTCTATTCAGCGTTATGGATTTTTTGAGCCATTTTTATTACCTCTGCCTTTGCCCAGTCTTTGACCTTTCGTTGCTCAGTAACACTCTAATGTAGGTGAATGAAAGAAATCGTGTAAAACGTGAAACCAGTTGTTAGCAATTCTGGTATAAAGATAATTTATATTTTTGGCTAAAACGAAGTTTGTGTACGAAATGACTGATTTATGCATGCTACTCTTATTCGTATAGCCATACTATAATAAAGTTGCATGATAATCCCATTTTAATTTTTTATTTAAGGGAACATTATCTTTTCAGTGAATTTATAATAATGCTTATTTCCCAGCCAATAATTATTTTTATAATTTTTAAGTCTCTGTCTAATTCCAATATCTGGCCAACTATGGATCTGTTTTTATTGATGGTTTTTTCTCTTGATTTTAGATAGTATACTATCTGTTGTGGATGAGGCATTGTAGACATTCTAGATTCTGTTATTTTCTTTTGGGCAGTTAACACTGGTCTTGTAAAGGCTTGGTTATAGGACTAGGCTCTTTTGGCCTTGATCTTAGTTCTAAGGTGCGGTTCGTAATCCCTCTGGGGTGTCCATGGAATGCCTCAGATGTGATCAAGCCCTGTAATTTGGCAGGACCTGATCTCCTCTGTCTTCACAGTGGTAAGCAGATGTTAAAATCTCTCCTCTGCGTTTTCAACCTTCCTGCTGTCCTCCACGGGGATCCTGGGAATATTATCCTGTGTGTGTGCCCTTCAGGAGCCAGCCTCCGACTTGGGGAAGGTTTACATGCGGGTTTTGGCTCCCTTCTTCCTAGGGCTTTTGCCTGCAATATCCTGGCAGCCTTGAACGTGGTCTCAGCCCAGTAAGGCTGCTGCCTTTCAGTTGCATGCTATCCCCCACGTGACGTGTGAGTGAGGAGCACCCCTGGGAAAAGCCAGATGAAGGTGATTCATCCAGAGTTATTCTCGTTTTCTAGGGGTTACGGCCCTTCCAGTTCCTGCCTGCATTTGTTTGTTGTTCAGAATCTTCAAATGGCTTTTGAATATTTTGTCCAGAGCTTATCATTATTGGCAAAAGGATTAGTCTGATATAAGTGATTCTGTCATTACTGGACTCCAGAAATCCCAGTCAATAAGTACATTATGGATAAAAAGACAAAGTAGCATGGTTCGCATAGGACTCAGATTTGAAAATGCATTTCCTGTAGATCATTTTTATCCACAGAGAAATTCTAGTTTGCCTGGGAGCACCGTAGGAGCTGCATGTATCTGCGCTGGTGCAGAGGTGTCTGGGCACAGCCGAGGAGAGCATCTGCAAGTGAAGCCAGCAGAGGAGACCACTCAGAGTGGCACTGACTGGCTCGGGGAAGCATCTGGGCCACACGGGACACTTGACGCCGTGGGAAAGGGCTGCTCTCTAGCTTCAGGCAAACGCGGGCCTCACTTTTATTTTCTCGGCTCTTTGAACAATAAAACACTGACTACTGCAGCCACAACCAAGAATATAACTTCCTCTCTGCGGGCTGAGGCAGGTGTCACTTCCTGAGAGAGTGAGCGTGGCTGGCAGCCGTGCTTGGGGTCCAGGACGGCCAGCTCAGCCTCCCCTCGCCCTGCAGGGCTGCAGAAGTGAGACCATCTTCACACCCCGACTCGTTGTCATCCTGGTTCTGGATCTCTCAGTTCCTCTCCCATTTCCTATCCCACTGCTATGGGTGTCCTCCTGGGTCCGCCATTCCCCATAGAGGAGTCACTTCCACGTCTCCCCCGAAAGTGCCTGACCCTTGTACTGCGCCCTCCCCTGGGCTTCTTCTCCAGGCTTCTTCCATCACTCACTTCCAGCCAGCAGTCCGCGAGTGTGTTTTGGAAATGTGGTGCGTGCTCTGCACCTGCCATTATGTTTTTAAGGTGTGTTATTTGTTCTTAATTTTAAAAGTAGGTGAATTAAACATTTTGTATTTCTCGTACTAAAAATACTGCGTTGGCTTTTTACTCTGCGGCCTTGGTTCTGCCCCACTGTATGCCAGTAGCCTGGGTGGGAGGAGAGATGCTTTCCCTACCTCCTGTTGGCGCCACATTAGAGAAAGCCTGTCCGGCTCCACACGCACTCCTAAGGATGGACCTGCCTCAGACATGAAGCCAGCTATGACCTGTAGGATTTTATGATTATGAACATGACATAATTGCATTTGCATTTCTTTTGTGTGCCTTAAGGCTACTCATTTATTCTACTCCAGCAGGCTCCCCAGCTCACTTCCTTAAGAAAGAAAGAAGTGGCAAGTCCAGTCCACTCCAGCATCTCGTTTGGAGACTGAGCTTTATTAAGCATCTCAGCGCTCCTCTCCAGGGACTGGGCTTCGTGTGGCTGCAAATGGCTCCTCTCCTTTCTCCTGACAACTCACTGTGGCAGCTCTGTAGTCTCGCGCCTTGACAGGATGGCAATGAAATTTTCTTTACAAATCTAAAACTGCCGAATTAAGGAAATCCGAGTGTACTTGTTCACCAGGGCAGTCCCTGTCCCCACCTTTAACTCTTTCCTTTTCCTGCAGGTCTGTTGAATTTCCTGGGTGACTGTTCCATTCGTGCCATTCACATACTTTCTTTTCTTTCTCTGCAGGTTTTGCATGCAGAAATGTGTCAGTCTGGTGCCTGGCGTCACACTGGATTTGATAGAAAAGTAAGTAGGATTTTTAAGCTCTTGTGGCTCTCTGGAGCTGATGAGTTTCTTTTCCTTTTTGAAGGCTCTTGCTTCTCAGAAGTACTTTCTATCAGCGTGGCATGTTCCCTTTCATGTGGCTATGTTCTTTTGTTCTCTGATTAAGGCTGTGGTTGTGATTGTCACCCTGGGGCTTAGTGCAGGAGATAACCAAACATGGGCCATATGAAAAGAAAAATAATAAAAAGCTGGATTCCTTTGAACATTTAAAAAATCTCCAGACTTTAAGCCAATACAAGAACATACCACTTCGCATACAGATCATTTCTGCTGCCACTGAAACGGCAGCTAGATCATAGCTAGCTCTTACCTTATTTTCTGAAACTGTCCCTTTAATATTCTATAACTTTCCATCCCCTACCCACCTGTCTCCATCCAATTTCCATTTTACTATCTCAGGGCAAACTGATTTCAGAACCTGAGCAATGAAGTGACAGGGTTTAGTCAGGTCTCCCATGAAGAGTCAGTGGCACTTGCCTCCCGTAATCCTTCCGGTCCCATTGGCCGACCTGTCTGTCCCTTGCTGTGATCTCTTTGGATCTGAAGTGGCATCTCAGGACCCGGAGCGTGGCCTGCACTGCCTTGTTCTGTTTGTTTGTGCGTCGGATTCATCGTGACTCATCCTGAGTCATCCAGGCAGCATGGAAGAACTTTGGAGTTATTTTAAACCCTTTGGCTTGGAACCCCATTTCTTCTAGAATTAACATGCAAGATAATTGTTTTCTACATCTTAATATACAAAGTTGCATCTTAATATTAGGACCTGAATTTACTAAATTAGGCAGGAAAAGCAAACCCACTTCCAAGTTTCTCTTGTGAAAACATCTTGCCTTGTGTATCAGGGGAAAAATACAAAATATTATGTGTCAGCGTTCACGAGGGCACGGTGAGCTCCATCGTGGTTCACTCCCGCCGTGGAACATGGCCGTGTGGCCAGTAGGAAGGCCGGGGAAGCTGCGCTGGTCCTGATGTGGAGAGGTCTATCAGATGTGCTAAGTGAGCACTGCCCAGCATGGGTACCTAACAGAGCATAGTGCCCAGAGGCTTTCCAAGCAGTGCAAGCTGTGACTGAAAAGACTGTTTCCAAAGGCTAAACAGATAGTGGAGTCTCTGAGAAGCATCACATGGAAAATAACTTAGAAAAAAAAAAAAATGGGACTAAATGATCTGTGCTCCCCTCCCCTTCTGTTTGGTTTGGTGCCCTGATGAGATTTCATGAGATGTGTTAACTGGTCATTGCTGTGCGCTTTCTTTGGGGCTTTTATTTCCCCCTCTGTTGTCTGAGTTTCAGAACTCTCTATTCCCTGTAACATATAGATTGCCCCCACCACTCCTGCCCCTCCCCACACACATACCAGATGCGTATCCCAAATCTAAAAATCCAAAATCAAAAATACTCCAAACTTTAAAAAAAAGTTTTAAATGAATTTAAAAAAGAAATAGACATGGGCATCTTGCTGTATTTGGCCAGGCTGGTCTTGAACGCCCGGCCTCAAGTGATCCTCCCACCTCCACTTCTCAAAGCACCAGGATTACAGGTATGAGTGATTCTGGCTGTGCCAGGCCAAAATCGGGAACTTTGTGAGCACTGACATGCTACTCAAAGACAGTGCTCTTTGGAGCATTTTGGACTTTGTGTTTTCGGATTAGTGATAAATCCAAAAAACTTAACTGGTAAGTATAATGCAGATATTCCAAAATCTGAAAAAATTCAAAATCCGAAACACTTCTGGTTCCAAGCATTTCAGATAAAGGGACACTTCACCTGTGTATATATATCTAATTTATTAAATCATATCCATTAATATTTCAGCAGTTATATTTTATCCTCGCTGGGCTGGCTTATTTAGGCAGCTCTTGGGTGAAAACTGTCTTGGCGTTTTCCATTTGTTGTGCCTCCCTGTGGCTATTTCCGTGGTTTCCTCTGGAGGTAGGAGGGCCGCAGTATCCTTTCTCCTCTGCCTGGTAGCAGGAGCCCGAGCCTTGCCCACACCTCCATCTCCGTGTGGGTCAGTGTCTCGTCTCCGTCCTGGACGACTGCTGTGTGCTGTTCTGTCCACCCTGGCACCTGTGCCTGTGGCTACTCCGGACAGGGCCCTGCCAGCGCATGTTGAGCCACGTGAGCTCAGGCAGCACCACGTGTTCCACGTCTCCAGCGCAGAAAGGGCTGTTAAAAATCACCTAGTGATTACGACAAAAAATTGTTTTAAGTTATTGAGTCAAACCCCTTATTTTACTGAAAGAGAACCTGGTATTTGGTCCACTTCAGCTCCTGGGTGACCTTTTCTGCCTGGTTCGGGCAGGGCTGGCCTAGAGCTCAGGTCTCAGGACAGCCCCACTGTGGTCTGCCCAACACAGGGAGGTTTTCCCTCGAACAAGATTTTGGTGTCGGCACAACCAGCTGCCTCCCGTTTCTTTCCAAAACTTAAAATGTGCAGCATGACATCCTCAGCGTGACTCACAAAAGAAAAAAATTGGTAAATTGGACTTCATCCAAATGTAAGATGTTTACTCTCTGAAAGACACTGCTAATATGAAAAGACAAGCTATAGACTTGGAGAAAATATTTGCGAGTCACATATCTGACAAAGAACACTTGTATCCAGAATGTATAAGGATATCTCAGAACTCAAAAATAAGGGGGAGAAAGCAATTAGAAAACAGACAAAAGACATGAAGAGACACTTCACCGAAGAGGATTTAGGGATGGCAAATATGCGTTAAAACCCAGTGAGACAGCACCGTGTGTCCCTGTTAGAATGGATGACATTTAAAAGGCTGACCAACCCCGTGTTGAGAACTCGCATCGCAGCTGCTGGGAATGCAGAATGGTGCGGCCACTCTGGAAGAACTGTCAGCTTCTCATCAATGTCCACACACCTGTCAACGTGTCCCCGCATTCCCACTCCTGGATCTGTACCCTGGAAGAGTGAAATCTTAGGATCACACAAAACCCTGTGCGTGAATGTTTGTGGTAGCTCTGTTCGTTCCCCCAAGCCGGAAGCAACCCAAATGTCCCTTGCAGGGCAAATGGATACAGACTGTGGTGCATCTGTATGGTGGAATTCTGCTCAACAGGAAAAAGGGACAGGCTTTCTGTATCCACCGCCATTCGGTGGTTCCCAGAAGTGTCACACTAAGTGTCAGAAGCCCGTCTCCAAGGGTGGCACACGGTTCCATTCCCTTTCCGTGACCTTCTGGGAAAGACAGAACATGGGCCGGAGAACAGATGAGCTGTCGCCAGGGATTAGAGGGGTGGAGAGTGTGGCTGTGGGGCTAGCGGGAGGGGCCTGCGTGGGGCCTTGATGCTGGTGTGGTTCCACAGATCCACCCACGCGTTCCAGTCCGTAGCGTGTGCACCTGCAGAAGTCATTTTGCTGTTTGACAACTGAAGTAAAAGTAATACATAATGTAGGGGAGGAAAAAAAACCTCACGAGAGCGAGTAGGCCGGAGAGTGCAGAGCAGAGGCAGCACAGGGCTGGCCGCCACTGCGAACTACAAGCCATGGGCCTGGGGAGCGAGGGGTGCAGGGAAACGGAGACGTGGATTTGGGAGAGGATGTGAATTCTACAGCAGCGTGCTCTGTTGTTTCTGGGAAGATACCTTCACTCATTATTAAAATAGGATTGAGTGAGGATTGAAAAAGAAGCAAACACCCTCCCCCATCCACCGTGGATGTTAGTCATTTTCATCAGACGCCCTTTCCCTAAATCATGACGTTAGCGTTTGCAGCCGCTCGTGTTCTTCCCGGAGCCAGTGTGTCCCCTCCCTCCCCAGCACGAAAGGCCCTTCTCAGCCAGTGTAATCGTGACTGCTGGAGGTTAGGGCAGTGTCCTCGTCTTTCTCGCATCTCCCCTTCTCCTGTGCCAAGTGATGCTATGAAGGTGGCTAAATGCTAAAGCTTTATTGTATTTTTAAATTTAAAGAGACAATGAACTGTTAATAGTAGGCAGTTTTCAAAACACACCCTGCTTAGGGATTCGGGGTGTGAGGAGGAGAGTGTGCTGGGAAAAGTACGGACGCTGGAGTCAGAGCAGCCCCATCCTTCCCTCCTGACCCTTCTGAGCCACACTCACTGGGCACCTCCTTGCTCTGGGTCTGTCTCTGTCCTGCAGAAGGGACACCACTCGGGTCTCACTGGGCAGCAGCAGTGCCGAGGGCATCACACGTCCTGACACGGCCTCGGCTCTCAGCCCATGTCCACCTCCCGCCAGACACTTCTGCCTTCTCAGCACTTCCCAGAGCTGCAGCTTGGATGGTGGCTGCTGTCACTCCACATTCCTGTAGTTCTGTAAGTGCCTCCCACGCCTCTCCATCTGCCATCAGCTGAGGCACCGACTACTCCCAGGCATCATTGCCCTGGTCCCACTGCAGTTAGAGAGAGATGGCAAGGCGCCGGAGAGGCTGTGCTCTCGAGGCCCATCGCTGAGATGAATTGGCTTAGCAGGCTGTTTTCGTTCATTCTCACACTGCTATAAAGATACTACCTGAGACTGGGTGTATTAGGGTTCTCTAGAGAGACGGAACAAATAGGATAGATATAAATGTAAAGGAGAGTTTATTGATTAATATTAACTCAGACAGTCACAAGGTCCCACAGTAGGTCGTCTACAGGCTGCAGAGCGAGGAAGCCAGTCCGACTCCCAAAGCTGCAGAGCTTGGAGACCTCAGTATTAACCATCACACTGGGCAATTTATCAATATCAGAGGTTTAATTGACTCACAGTTCTGCATGGCTAGGGTGGCCTCAGGAAACTTATAATCATGGGGAAAGGGGAAGCAAGGCACATCTTACATGGCAGGAGAGCGAGAGCACGCCAGGGAAGGGGAAGTGTCACACTTTTAAGCCAGCGGATCTCGTGAGAACTATCACAAGAACAGCCACTCACATAATCCAGTCACCTCCCACCAGGTCCCCGCCTCGACACGTGGGGACTGCAATTCAAGATGAGATTTGGGT